GCCCCAGGGAGATCAGCGCCATTCGGACCCCCGAACGAGCCGAGACGACCCCCCGGGTCACGGCTAAGAAAAAAAAGGTGTTTACCCTAACAGATCCTGTGTTCGAGGAGGCGCTCTCGAGGATCTCGATGTGCCACAGAAACTGATCCAAGGTTTTGCACGAGGACGGGCGTCGGACCCCGGATAGAGGTCGAAGCTGCACCTGAGCATGACCCGGGATCCCACGCGGATCAGCGCCCACTCCTTGCGGGCATCGTGCACGTCGCTGACCTGCTGGAGGACCTCAGAGTGCCCCTTTGCCTTCGGAGAGGCGTTGCAAGGTGAAGTCGGTCAGGGGAGCGGCAAGGTGGACGCCGAAGCAGTTCCTGAAGCGGAATCGGAGCTGGTATCAGTGGAAAATGCGTTCGACGCACCACCAGGCACCCACCAAGGAACCGTCTTGCTGCTGATCCAACCGGAACATGTCGTCGGCCGCCAACGTGAGGCACTCGTCGCGGATGTTTTGCAGGCGGACGACTCTCGCCGCAGCGAGCCACTCCGATACCCCTATAAACAAGAAGCGGTAGTAGAGGAGTTGTAATGCTACCTTCCAAGTGCCAAAGGAGAAGGGGAAGAAAAGACCTCGGGGATTGGCATCGAACACCGCCAGGTGATATTTGGAATCGAACTTGGGTGGCACCTCCTTTTGGAGTGAGAGGAACAAGAACGGTGCCGGTTTCCCATCTCCGAACGCAGACATATCCGTCGTGGATCCCTGTTTGCACCTCCATATTGCTCATCAATTCAGAGGTGATCGTTCCGACGAATGTGAAGGAATAAAATCCACCTTCCTCATCTACGTGTCCATCGTCCTTCGCGACGAGAAAGCTGATGGGCTGATGGTCCAGCTAGCTCACTGAGCAGAAAAAGAAAGCGACGGAATGTTGCAAGAAGATTTCAGATTCCTGTGTGAGACAACATCCCAGAAGATTTCAGGTTCAGGAACTCCGAAAAGAACACGGTCCCAGAAGATTCAAGACTAGCGATATCAGAAAGAAGATTGATAGTATGACTCATGACGAGAGGATCAATGAATCGGGGTTTCTGGCGTGCGTGGCGAGGCAGGGGAGGAGGGAGCAGCTGAGATGCCGACGCCTAATGTGCAGAGGGAGAGGACTACGGTGGAAGAGGATGCTTCGGCTTCCATGGAGAAGGCGGAGAGAGAGAGAGAGAGGAACGACTGAGGGAGAAAAGAAACGGTTTATTTAATGAGGGCTTCTCACTATTGTGGCTTAATAAACCCACTTTGAAGGTGTAAGTAATCTCAAATTATGCGTCCCTTAGGTGCATAAATTACGTGTAATTTTGATTATAATCAATTGCAATTGGAACTTCTTGATCCTTTCGATTATAGAAAAATCATCACTAATCATAATAATAGCTTTTGTGATGAGAGGAAAAAAGAGAGATCATGTCTTAGTGACTGCTCCATTGATCCAAGTGTTCTTAGTGACATTGATGCACATACAGACTTCAATGGCTGATCAAAGCAAAGGAGTTCTCATTTCCTCTGTTACGTCAAAAACATGTTGCCGTAACATGAGACGGTGCAGATGCACTATGGTCGTGAGGAGGGCCCGGCTTCGGCGGCGGCCAGGGAGGAGGAGGGTCCGACAACCATGGACGAGGAGGCGCCGGCATCGCTCTCGAGGATTTCGACGTCCCACAGAAACGGGTCCAAGGTGTTGGACGAGGACGGGAGTTGGACACCCGCCGCGTCGCTCCCCGGCAAGGGGTCGGCCCACAGGAAGTAGTCCTCGAAGTTGCACCTGACCATGAACCGGGAGCCCACGCGGATCAGCGCCCACTCCTTCCGAGCGTCGTGCAGGCCGCGGATCTGCCGGAGGACCGCAGAGGCATCCTTGCCGCCGGCCAGACGCTGCAAGAAGAAGTCGGACAGGGGAGCGGCAAGGTCGACGCCGAAGCAGTTCTGGAAGCGGAGTCGGAGCTGGTTTCTGTTGTCGGTGATTCTCTCGACGCTCCACCAGGTGCGCACCAAGGAACCGTCGTGCTGCTGCCTCAGCCCAAGCATGTCGTCGTCCACCGTAAGGTACTTGTCGTGGATGGTCCGCAGGCGGACTACTCGCGCCCCAGCGAGCGACTCATATGCCCCTGTTTACGGGAAGCCAGTAAAGATCAGAGAGCTTAGGATCTTTGTGACGCATGTTGACTCACCTCTGGAGTTTGCATTGAACACAACCAGATGATGAGTGCACTCCAACATGGAAGGCACCTCCTCGTGGAGAGGAACAAACACATTCTGGTCTTGCCAACTCCGAGCGCAGACGTATACGTCGTCGAGCCCTGTTCTCTCCCGCAATTTGCTCGTCAATTCAGACGTGCTGGTTCCTAACAATCTCGAGGTAAGAACTTCCTGCGGATCATCTGCCTTTCCAGCGTCGTCGGCGATGACATAGATGAAAGCCCGGTCCTCCGCCTGGTGAATTGAGCAGAAAGAGAAGATCACTGAGGGTCGCAAGAAGACATCGGATTCATCTCCTAAATCATTCGTTCGGAACAAGAAAAATGGAAGCTCTCAAATCAAGGTGACGATTAATTTCAAGAACATCCGGGATACCTATCTAATAGAAAAGATTAAAGATCGATTAACAACTCCGGAAAGAATACGATCCAAGAAGTATCAAGATCACAAAGAACGGAAAGAAGATTAACAACATGACCCATTTGATCGTTGACAGACGTACCCGGAATCCAGACGGGGGTGATACGGTAGAGGAGGAGGGACCGGCTGCCATGGCGGAGGTGAATGCTTCACCTGCCATGGAAACTGCTGCAGGTACAATCTCCGATGAGGAAGGGATGGCTGCCATGGAGGAGGAAGCACCGGATGGTTCTGCTGCTTGGGACAGGGGTCGGCGAGGAGGGGGCTCGTCCAACCGGATGAGATGTACCTCCCACAGATAGGAGAGTCCCATGTGTTCACCTGATGGCCTGTCGACCATCACCGAATTGGGGAATATCAGGTGGCCAACTCTCCCTCGGAGGTAGTCCCCGAATGAGCATCTGAGCTGGACGAAGAGGCCCTCTCGGACGGGATGCCACTCCGCCAAGATACTGCGGCCGTCACGGTGCTCCTGGAACACGTTCTGATCTTTGAAAATGCCGTGGAAGCAGCGGCGCTTCGAAGCGTCGGGGGCGAGGTAGCAGTTCACGTAGCTCCTCAACCGGACACGGGGATAGTTTCGGTCTCTGTTGACGATTTCGACGTTCCACAAGGCGTTGTCAGAGGCGTCCGGCTTGCTTAGCCTCACGTGCTTCTCGTCCTCGTTCGCCATGAGGTACATGCCATAGAAGCTCACCAGGCGGACCACGCTCGCTCCGGTAAAGAACTCCATGGACGATTCCTGCAAGCAAGAAACCCACCGGATCTCCGAGTCCAAAAATCGAAGAATTTGTTGTGTGACAATCAATACTGGGGATCAGAGCATCGTATTCCTACCTCTTCGTGCCAAAAGAACAGAGAGAAGGAGATGGGAGACTGGCTGAGGAAGACAACAGACGATGCAGTGAAGGAAAGAAATGGCTCAAGGAAGACGAGAGAGGAGGAAGAGATAGGAACGAGAAAAGGTTCCTCAGAAGATGGATTCAGTCTTGGTTTCCCGCCATCTCTAACTAATTAGTTACTATCTACTTAATTCCTCCATCTATCTAAATTTGAAATTTCACAAGGACATATACGTAACATTATTGCGGCATAGGACATTAATCGACATCACAGACAATAACAGGGGAATACTTGGATTAAATGAAATATAACACACAATAAACTCGGCGTTACATCATACATGATTTGCTGCAAGTAGATGGATACGATTAGGTCACCCTTGATTGCTTATATAAATAGTCAACCTTGATTTGGCTCATTCTTAATGACAAGTCAACCTCTCTCTCTC